GTGTGTGTGTGTGGCCTACCTGTCAGTGGAGGCTGTTGCTGGGGGTCAGGCAGCCATCTTCTGAAGCAGCATGGGCTGCTGCATAACGGCGGGGGCGGGGCTTACCGGCGGGAGGCGGGGCTTCGTTTGGGGGCGGGGCCTGTGCTGGGGAGCCAATCAGTGCTCCCTCCGCCACAGACAGCCTCCAGCACCTCAGCACTGCATTCCCTCGGGCTGTAACAGGCTGTAACAGTCCGAGGGAAGCAGATGGCCAGCAAGTTGCCGGCATTTGGGGGGGCCCAAGGGGGGGCACAGCATGATGTAGGGGGGGCCATGGCCCCCTCTGGCCCCCCCCTAGCGACGCCACTGATCTCTGGATATAAGAAGTCCATCCTACGTCACCTACTGAATGCAGCCAAAGCCCTTATCCCTGTGTACTGGAAGCGAACTGAGGCCCCCACGGTTGAAGAATGGCTACACAGGGTCGGAGACATACAGTTGGCGGAAGCACTGCAGGCATCCCTGACGGGTCGGGGGACCAGGCACGCTAGAGGGCACTGAACAACTCGTAGGGTGGGAGGGGGGGGTGGTGGACCGATAGACAGATTACGCCCCTACTCCACCAAAGCTCTTGGGGTTGGGACCACCCCATTACTGGAGGTATATTCCCCGGGCAGACGAAACCAACATCGGCCCACCGACCCAACCCTCCCACACACATTTCGCGACACCGAGAACACATGGCCCAACCGAGACTTCCCTTCTCTCACACGACTACAACCCTTGTGCGCCCACGGGGTGCACTGTAGGGACACGGGGGGGGGAGGGGGGGAACCTGCTATGGCAGCTACTCTCCTTTCTCCCTTTCTGTCTTTCTTTACCACGCTAACTCCTCTTACCTATCTAACACATAACACACAAAACTGGGGGACAGGAGGGGGGAACAAAACCAAAAAAGGAATACATGATACTGACACTACTATCGGTACATCGAACTGCGGGACATGGGAACACACCCATGGGATAACTTAACCTAATCTTAAGATCAGGGCACCTACGCTTCTCACACACGAGGAACCGGACAAATATGTCCAGCCTATCACTATGCACTCCTACTACAATGTACACTGTATCTTATGACTGCATCCGAATTAGTGCCACGCTTTGTGTTAGAAAACTGCTTACAAGCACTAAGAATGTCACATGTTATATATATGTACGTGTACCAGAATTACCACGGTTGTCACTCTACACACTTTACCTCTCTGTTATCTTATGTACGCCTACTGGTAATTACGAAACTTATCGATGTAACTAAGTCCCAACAGGAGACTTGGTATTGTGGACACAAAAAGTTTGATTCAAAATATAGAAGCATCACTGCAATTCTCTTGTCTTCTACGTAGGCCTGCGAGCCGAATTCTTTCTGTAAACCTTTTTCTTCTTAAATAAACAGATTTACAAAAAAAAATAAAAAAATTTGAATTGGTCAAACTGCGCTGTAACCACAGTATTTGACAGTTCTATTTGACTCTCAGATATGAAGTGCAGGCATCAAATTGACTTTTTAGCACCTAAAGAATTAGAATTTTCACAACTGCAATGTAAGCACAATATTTGACGGTTGTATTTGACTCTCAGATATGAAGAGCATGCCCCAAATTTACTATTAAGCAGTGGAACCGCAGTATTTGACGCCTCTATTTGACTCTCAGATATGAAGAGCACGCCCCAAATTTACTATTTAGCAGGTTAGCACCAAAACAATTAGAATTTTTACAAGTGTGCTCTAACCGCAGTATTTGACGCTTCTATTTGACTCTCAGATATGAAGAGCACGCCTCAAATTTAATATTTAGCAGATTAGCACCCACAAAATAAGAATGTTTCAAACTGCGCTGTAAGCACACTATTTGACGGTTCTATTTGACTCTCAGATATGAAGAGCATGCCCCAAATTTATTACTTAGCAGATTAGCACCCAGAAAATAAGAATGTTTAAAATTGCGCTGTAAGCGCAGTATTTGACGCTTCTGTTTGACTCTCAGATATGAAGTGCATTAGTTTGCAGAATTCTTTCCTAATCTGTCCCTAACAGCTGCAGCATCCTCTCCTTACACTAATAAGAGCTCATGTGCGTTCTGCGTTCTGCGATTCCATAGGCTGGGTCACATGTGGCACTGACCAATCACAGCCATGTCATTAGTAGGCATGACTGTGATGGCTTCTAAGGGCAAATGAGTCAAACGCTTGTTGATTGGCTGCCCTGCAGCCTTTCAAAACGCGCCATTAAATCGCCGAACACCGAACTCCAACCCGAACATACAGTGATATGTTCAGGTCCAGGGTTCCAAAAAACGTAATGTTCGGTACGATCCCGAACTTTACGGTGCGGTTTCGCTCAACTCTACTTATCACCACTACAGTTTTAAATACTACACTTTTATTTCTTCTCTGGGTCTCTTCACATATACCTTATCAAGGATTACTGAAGCGCTGCACCTACCCCCCTGTTTTATCTAGTTTTCCGATCGGAAAAGAGAGGCTCCGTATTGGTGTTCAAGCTGCTTTTGGACTATTATCACTTTGCTTCCGCACTGAATTTATTTTTGTGTGATTGTGAAAAAAAAAAGTATTTCCATTAAAATTATTAAATTTGAAAGTTTTCCTATATGTTGTTTTAGTAATATAATCAATTAAATCTTGATGATATTTCCTCTGTTTGACTGACACTACTTCATGTTCAAGGTGATCTAACTTGTCATCAACCATTTGTGACTGTTCTATAAACTGATTTTCTGTCTTTAGTTTTTCAGTCTTGCTTAATTTGTGAAATTAGAATGACTGCAGTGTATGCCCTTAAGACTGATTCCAAGATGGAGAAGTCAGATCTACATCCTGAGGAAAACTTGTGTAATAGTGAAATGCGTTGATGTTATTATGTATACCATACAAGCTCAACCTTAAAGGATCACTATAGGGTCTGGAACACAAACATGTATTCCTGACCCTATAGTGTTAAAATCACCATCTAGCCCCCCTGGGCCCATCATGCCTCCATACATATTGCAAAATCTTACTGTATTCAAGCCAGAAGCTGTAGATCTGTGTGACAAACTGCCATCTGCCACTAGCTTTCTATGTGCCAAACTGCTCTGTTCCCCTGACTTATGGAGAACGCTGCTTGCCAGCCTCCTGCCTCATGACTATGGCCCTGGGGTGTATGGCCCTTTAAAAACATTAGTTGGGCTTATGGACTTTTATTGGACTAGTACTGGCCCTTTAAGCACAATATATGGACATATTGGGACTTTTGGGAACAATGCCTGTGGCAAGACCAATCTCGCCACATTGCATTGGAGAAGTCTATTTGCCAGCCTCCTTCCACATGACTATGGCCCCTGGGAGATGGTGACAACGTATGCACTTTTATTGGGTGTGTATGGCCCTTTAAGACAGCCAGTGGGCATATTGTGGCTTATGGACTCTTTATGGGACTGGTGCTGGCCCTTTAAATACCTTTTTGGGACATCAGGAAGATTGGGACACTGCCCCTTTAAGACGGTGTCCCCTGTGTCCCCAGACCTGCTTAAAACCCTTTGTGCCTGGCTATTTCCCACTTGGTTCAGTAAATGAGGCTTACTGAACCAAGTACCACACAGGCGGACCACCCAGAAGTAGAAGTGTGCAGGCAATATACCTCCCAGAAGCTGCGGTTAACCGCAGCTTAATTGACAATGCTGGGTGGTCTTTGTTCGTTTGCCGAACACGTGGCGGCGGCCATCTTTGTTAATGCGAACGAGGTCAGCGGTATGTGTAGCCAATTCCATGGAACTAAAATCGGCTACACATTTCCGCGCACACCGCTGAGCCCTACCTTCTCCCATACTGATTTTACAGCTGCAGAGACTAAGTCCCAACCGGCGATGGGACTTAGTCGTTTTTTCAGCCTGAAATAGACCGACCGCACAGCCCAAATCTATGGAACTGTTTTGGGCAGGAAAATGTGCTTGCGGTCGGTCATAAATGGACCTCCAGCTAACCTTTTAACCCCTGGATGGATTTGTCTGATTTTTGGTTATGTTTATTGTTTAAAGTGTGCTGATTAATAATATGTATTTTTTTATGAATATTGGATGTGTAGTTTTAAAGTTACAGTGTATGGATAAAAACTGTATTTTTACTGCCTGTGTTAATTATGTTAAACCATTGTGCAACATAATTAGATCACAGACAGAGGGGAGGATTTTTGTGTGTAATTGCTGGGAGTGTTTCTGTAATGTACGTTTATGATTGGTTGTTGTGTAAAACCCTGTGGGTGGTACTAATGTGTAAGAATGTGTATATAAGGATAATAAACCCACAGGTCTGTCAGACCACTGCTTGACCCTCAACACGGAGCCTTGTCTTGTCTTTGGGGGGGATTTACTGAATGCTGATAGACTGATTGCTAGGAGTGTAAGCCGCTTGGATGCTTTTCCTATTCGTCTGCTAGCAGTGATTCGTATGGTTCCTGTTCGTGTGTTTGGAGTGCTTTATTGGATGCCGTTCGGGAGTTTGGAGCATTCACTTATTAGCGGTTCATGTGTTTGCTGTTCTATAATAGCTGTGCCTGCATCTCTGGAAAGGGGGACAATCGCCTAAATGGTTTTTACCCCTTGTGTGCAAAACGGTCCGTTACAATGCCCCTTTAAGACTATGTCCCCAGACTGTTAAAATCCTGTGTTAATGGCTTTTTCCCACTTGGTTCAGTAAATGGGGCTTACTGAACCAAGTACTGTAC